CGCAACGAGGGGGCCTGGATGAAGGACCCCCTGGCCCAGGAGGAGCGGATTTACGTCACCAACTACTACTACGGGAACACGCTGGTGGAGTTCAGGAACCTCGACAACTTCAAGCAAGGTGGGCTTCTGCCATCCCTGATGCTGCTCCAGCCACCGTTTGGCTGGTACAAGTAGCGTCCCTGTTCCCTGGGATGCTGCAACGTGGGGGGACGCTCTGCCCGGGGACTCTCCCCTCTTGGGCACCGGTACCCAGCATGTGGGGTTCAGAGCACGGGGCAGGTCAAGGTGCCCGTGGTGGCTCTGGACTTGCTTGTCACCACACCAGGCTTCGGCTGGTGGCCGGGGAAGGACTGCAGGCAGGGCTAGGAGCAGAGGGTGCTGGTGGTGGGGCCACCAACCCCAAAGCAAAGGGAGGGTCTCGCCAGCGAGGTGTCTCTGCCCCGCAGGTCGCTGGAGCAACTCCTACAAGCTCCCGTACAGCTGGATTGGGACGGGGCATGTTGTCTACAACGGCTCCTTCTACTACAACCGGGCCTTCACACGCAACATCATCAAATATGACCTGAAGCAGCGGTACGTGGCCGCCTGGTCCATGCTGCACGATGTGGCCTATGAGGAGTCCACCCCGTGGCGGTGGCGAGGCCACTCGGACGTGGACTTTGCTGTGGATGAGAACGGCCTGTGGGTCATCTACCCGGCCATCAGCTACGAGGGCTTCAACCAGGAGGTGATTGTGCTGAGCAAGCTGAACGCAGCCGACCTCAGCACCCAGAAGGAGACCACGTGGCGGACGGGGCTGCGGAAGAACTTCTACGGGAACTGCTTTGTCATCTGCGGGGTCCTGTACGCAGTCGACAGCTACAACAAGAGGAATGCCAACATCTCCTACGCCTTTGACACGCACACCAACACGCAGATCATCCCCCGGCTGCTCTTTGAGAACGAGTATGCCTACACCACGCAGATAGACTATAACCCCAAGGACCGCCTGCTCTACGCCTGGGACAATGGGCACCAAGTCACCTACCACGTCATCTTTGCCTACTGAGACCCCCTGCCACAAGTGGGGCACTGCGAGCCAGGGGCCACCAGCACCTTTTATTATTATTTTTATTGTTATTATTTTGTACAAATCAAAGAGTAAATGATGGGTTTTGTTTCAAGCTGTTTTTTTTTTTTTATGGTGGATTGTAGATCGATCCCCAGGCCAGAACCTTCCCCTTCGTCTTTGCTGTAACCTTGCTTCTGATTTTTCCTTCCCACAGGAAGGAGATCTTCCTTCGGGAGGGCAGACCCAGCTCTCCTGCCCAGGGGGGAGGAGGTGGCCCAGACGTGATCCTCCCAACGAGGTTTTTAGCTAAAGATGATCAGCAAGAGACCCAGAACCAGTGCAAAGCTGGCCTTTCTGCTGCAGGCACCAGGTCCCAGCGGGATGCTGATGTCTGCCTGTCCTGGTGGAGGATGTGCGTGTCCCATGGGAATGTCCTGTCCCTTGGGACCATCTTCCCAGCCGACAGCCAGCAGGCCCTTTGGAGATCCTGCTGTACAATGGGGCTGCAAGCGCAGCTCCAGCAGCCCCTGGTGCTGGCACTTACGCCGAGGACTGTCCCCTCCGGCCGGGGCTCTGCCCTTCGCAACCTGCGCTGAGGGTCCGGGTGCACCCTGAGCCCTGACTCACATCTGGAGTGAGCTGGTGGTGGGAGGGGGACACTGTAAATACGTGTAGATGGCTTCTGTTTGTTCATTTTTTGTAACCCAAAATAGTCCCCTCTTTTGGCATTTGCTGGGCAAAGGCTCTGCTCAGCTGGGTGCTGGGCTGCCTGGGCAGGCAGCTGCGGAGCTGGGGGAGCCCCCGGGGCTGGGGGAGCCCTCGCTCCCCATCCCGCTGCTGCTCCCCAGCCCGCAGGCTCAGCCCGTGTGCTCTCTCACGGCCACACTCACCCTGGTCCCAGCTGTCGGCCATCAGGAGCCCCTCGCAGAGGCACAGCCCCTGCCCTTCTGCCCGGCGGCATCTTGTATTTACCTGCTGTCAGTAATAAAAGATCAAGTACCTTTGCAGCTGTTTGGGGCTTTCTTTGGGTCTGGTTCACCCTCTGGGTGCATGGAAATGCATGGGGGGGAGTTGGGTGGGCTTTGGTTGGTTTGGGGAGTGCCAGTTCACATGCCAAGTGGCAACAAGGCATGCTGGCTGGAGGGGACCTCGGGGCAGGGGGGCTGCAGTTGC